CAACGTATCATTAAAGGCGTTTTGTAAGTTAGGACCATATTTCTAGCCGATATTCGTTGTGTACACCCATTTTTCCTGGCGATTAAACCTAATGCTTATACAGATCTTCAATCATGACGCAAACAGCAATCTACACGCAAATGAATGCCCAAGAAAGCAAGAGTACGGTTTATCGCTGGAGTACACCGGGTAGCATTTGTTTTGAGCAAACTGCTGAACATCTAAGGTCTTTGTGATATCAAGCATTCGGTTCCTCCATAATGTCACCAACTAAAAGCTGACATTATTGTACCATTAAATGATAATAGTAAATAAATGTAATGCCCATATGAAGGCATTGCATTAAAGTACGTTTGTCCCCCTACAGAGCATCCACGCCGAGGTCTTTTTATTGTTTTCTGTGGAACGCATAAATATCGGCAATCATTTTCTTTTAACGCAATTGCTCTTCGTAGTAAGTAGCCCCGGCCATAAACCATATCGCCGCTTTTAAGAAGCCCCCATTTTGGTAGATCCATTCACTTTGTACTATTTTGAAGTTTTCGATAAAAAAAGAAGCACATACGTTGCCATCTGAACAGTGAAACAAGCACACTGACAACTACAATATATTTACTGATATTTCAAGTGCATTTTGAAACTCAACGAATTCCGGCATCTCTAAAAACCACGCGTTACTTTACTGAGAGAAAATTCATTTTGGTGCAGAGATGTTGGCGGGCTTGCAACAGCATCTGCTAATTATATTTAAATTTAGTTTTTACTGGCCGGCTTACCAACATGTTCCCTTGGATAAAATCTTATACGTCTGGTGCCTATAATTGCGAAATCATGCCAGATGTCCCTTGCCCCAATGAATCACACCCCTAACAATGGAAGGTGAAAACATTTCACGAACTCGACGCAGCAAGACCAAGAAACACATGACCGTTTGACTTTATTGCGGACCTTAATGAGCATTCAGTCTTACAAGACATGTGTTACAGTGTGCGTAAGAAATTATGTTTAACGTTACTGCGTCTGTGTGGTTTTATTCAGTCCGTTCTTCTCTGGACCCGCATTGCATACGTTCGAAGATTATGCCTACTCATTTCACACAGTCTTTTGTGTTTTCGACATTTCCGCTGTTTTCAAAAAATTACACTTTATGCTAAATGATATAGTAACCTAAGTACTTTTCTGTTTCTTTATTTGACTGGAAATTTTTCCTTATAATTTTGGTTCTTTCGCAAATCACTCGGACTGGTTTCAGACTGTTAGTGCCCATGAATTAGGTCACCTGCTATACGTCAATTTTTTCATTTAGCTTTCGTTTCTTTAGACTTCTGTTCCCCATTGAATAGGGCGTTCTTGGTTACACCTCCCTATAATAACTGGAACAGAGATTTATAAGTTCCGAATTCACAGTTTTTTTTCCTCCAGACTCCTCCAGGACCTACAGATTGCTGCTATTCAAATCCTCATTTTTACGCCTCATATCCCAATGGACAAGTGTGGGCCCTGTTCTAAATATGAACAGATTCGCGTCATTCTCTTCGCAGCTAATGCAGTTATTTATGCTATGTCAAGTGGCTTCACTATTTCGTAGAATCAAAGAGCGTGTTTCAGACTTCGAAATGTATTATTCATACTGCAAACCCATTTGTCCAGTTCATAATACACTGCGTGTTCAACGGCCGCAAACCTTCAGACTGTAGTAACCTGAGAGATTTCTAACGATTCGGATTTTACAATGGAATGCGCAAACTATGAGTTACAGGAAAGACAGTCCAGGTGACCTATATCATTTTCTCTGGGATCTTTTCCCAGCAGGCTAGACAGTGAGGAAGCAAACAGCTTACAACCAGCCATATTAGTCCGCGCAATGACGATGGAGAACTGAATAATTCCTGCTAATCTACACACCTCCTGTCTTATATTCTCTACGTGTACGTCAACTTGTTATTGTGTTGAATGACTACGGAATTTGTCCACTGTTAATTCGTTTTCCACCTCGACCACCTTAACTCTAATATGTGAAGCCATATAGAGGTAGTGTAAAAATATAGCTTGAATTTAGCCACCCGTCACATTTGTGTTATATGCAACATGATTTGTAGAATCGCAAGTCTTTGTAGAAGTTACAAGTAATTCTGTTCGGGTTTAACTGACACTCATAGTAACTCAGGTTTTTGTCCTCTCCGTCTACTGTTGTCGTTAGATTTGGACGTTATCTACCAACATCCTTCTTTGCACGGAGGGTTGCTAGATGTAAACTCCATCACCATGTCAGAGCAGGCGCCAGTGACTCTCACAGCGCCAATGGCGACAAAATGGCTTTCTGAGTCATCCATAAAGTGTCAACGGGACACTCCAAGTTCCTGCGTCAGCGAATACTTGCGACGGCAGAGGCCGTAGCCGTACGTTTAGCCAACCCAGCCTTGTGCTGGCATAAGGCGTTTGTTCAGACCCTAAGGTTCCTCTGGGCAAAGACAAATCCAGCATACATGTTCATACCCGTCACGTCGCGTTTTAGCGACGAAACAAGGACAGCTAGTCACCAAACCCCTTCCCCCTCCCTCTGCCTAAACCCCAGGCAGAAATAGAATCTAACCACTGAGTTCTTAACGTCCTTCAACCCTCTCCCCCATATTGACTATTACTGGGTGTTCAACTTTTGCTATTCTTCCCTTATATTACTGCACAGGCCTGATGACGGATAATGGAAATCGTACGTTTTCCGGACTTGACTTGTTAAGAAGCCTTTGGTCTAAATAGAACAAAATGCAAAGCATGTACGAAGTGGGAAGCGCTACTTTCTCAAACGAGGATTGCATAGGTCACATGAAAAAATCCGCTCAGACCTCGGATACCAAGACAATTTTGCACCGGGCCTCACTGCCACCATTCCGCAGCCTTGTACTATTGTTATTTTCGTGAACGGGAACTAGATCCTCTTTGTCCGCGATTGCAATAATTTTCAGCAGGATCATAGATTTTTAGAAAGTTCTGCCTGTAACTTGGGGTTTCCTCAAATTAGGTCTGCCAAAACGCATAGTAGGAGGCAATTCACGTTTTGAAAGCTGGAACAAATTGCAGGTCGTCACACTCAAATCGTTTTTTTCGTCTAATCAGGTGGAGAACGACAATTATAGTTTCGTATTCGGGGTGAGTTTCCCATGCAGAAATTGACTGCTATAGGGAACAGCATTGCGTACAAAGACAAGGGAGGCCCGAGTGGCCATTTCTGACGTATTAGCCGTCGTCAGCCAACTACAACCAAGCCCGCAGTGCTGAACACCTGGGGCACGATTTCGCCATCTATTGGTTGGACGCCCGACACCCCTGACCACGGGCTGCTTGTCCTTTTGGTGTGTTTTGAACAACACATGCGCGACTTAAACTCAAAGAACGGAAACCAATTTATATCCTTTGATCGGTAATAAAGTCAGTTGTCAGCACCTACGTACTCATATCTCCTTCAAGGTTGATGTTCTCTCCCTGCATTATGGTGCACATAACGAAGCGAGGGACGCCAAAATCTTAATACACAGCACTCACACCTTTACCTCTCATAGTGACCAGTAAACATTGCACGTCCAATGGCATTTAAAATACTTTTTTGTAAAAGCAATGAGTCACCAGCCGTCGGTTGTTTCTGTTCCACTCCCTCGGCTAACCACCTAGACGGTCAGTTATATTTTACAAACTTACTGACTTATTATTGACGACAATTAGGGAAGTTTTGGCCATGAGAAATGAAACCATAAACAGGTATGACAACTTAAGGTCTTATGAGACCATATTCATGTGGAATTTTGGACTTACTATGGCTCTTTATCCTTACAAAGGTAATCGTCACGCATTTCAGCCATAATCCGGACATGAATCAACCACGCATACTAAAGTTTGGCAAGTCGCATCTCCCCAACTGACGTTGAATCAAATAAAACAGGCATGTCTTGATCTACAAAATAAACAAGACAGGATTCTCCGAAAACAAACCAAACAATGAACGAAATCGTTTCATGAATTTGGAAATACGGGAGCTTATTAACCCATTAATTTGAAGTCCACGAAGACAGAACCAAACTTTGAGATTTTACAAAGCTGGGACACCAATGTGATGATAAATACACTTTCTGTCACTGCATGCTTTATTAACGTTTATCACCAGACAACTTTATTCTCCTTTTGCCAGCGATGAATCTGTATGTCTCTGAATTCAAGTGAGTAAATTTGCCAGTAGCGCTGAAGTCAAGGGTTACCATCTTGATCATTCGTTTCGACCTAAGTAATTTCAAAGGAAATGAAACACGCGCATTGCTAACATATGCCTATGTAAATTTTCCAGTTCGGTAGGAGTTTTGCCTGCAAATGACGTACTTAGATGAGTCTTAGGAATATTTTTCACTGTCTACTAAAGTATATGCTATCCCACACGAGATTCACCACCTACAGGAGACCTACAGTACCCTCTTCGGTGAGAAACTATTTATCCAGACAGGCAAGGCAATACCTTTCTTATTTTAAGAAGAGTAGGCACATCGAATCACGCACATCGTGCGCCAATCATGATAAAATACCTATCGAAATATCCTGGAAAAGTATGAAATAGGACGTTCATACTGGTGCATCTTTTAACCGCACTTATAAAGTTACCAAATGGACGCGTTTGGACCAGTTTGTTCGGTGCAATAGGACATTTAATCAATATCACCAGTCGGAACTATTTTGTGCTTAACATAACAAGCACGAATGTACGAGTATTGTGCAGACATTTGGCTTTCGAGGAGAAAACGTCAGACGAATACTTAAGGAAATTGTACATTTCATCCAATGTCACTCAGGAAGTTTAAAAATTAATGCTCTCCGCACCGAACTCACAAGTGAAAGCACTTTTTAAAATCAACGACACACATTCAAACATGTTTGTAGAAGGGGGCTAAAACAAAGTAACGGAGGACAGTCAAACGTAAAATCGGGGTTCTATTGATGGTAATGAACGCGCATTTTTTCCGTCACCACTGGATGCAAACCCACGACACCATGACCATCCAGAGACAAACGAAGATGCTACCCCCTATAGCTAAAGGAAGAAATGCAAAAGAGTGGTTAAGCTGAAATACCATCAAGGTTAACCGTTAAGCTTATGCGCGTAAAATATCGTTTATTTATGATAGGAGTTAAACATTGGCACTTGCACTAATGTTAATTATTAGTATAGCATAAAATTGCAAGCATATGTCTTAGCTTTCTAAAGTAAGAGGACGCCTTGTAATAAAAGACGCAAAAATTAAGGCATTACTGCTGACATACCCGTTACTCTTTCCGAAGCCGAAGTCGTTTTCTGTGGGGCCACTAGTACAGAGTCTTTTTTAGTGGGCAATTTAGTGGAGGCGCCTGAAACAAAAAAATCCGTTAATGTTTCGAATGCGCTGCTATTCTCTCCTTATTCAGCAAAATGTCGCGGCAAAAGCAAACGACAACGCGGTCATGTTAATAATCGGACAAATGTTTGTCAGGCCAGTACAGTTATGTGCGAACGGGGGAGAAGCCAAAACATGTCAGTGATAAGAGAAATCAGATAAAATTCGTCTTAAAACACATGCGTGGTTGTAGAGGCTGGGGGGTGGGGAAGAGCAGTCAATGCCGGAGACAAAGAAAGAGGGCAGGGTGCGGCGGATTGCAGCATTAGTTGACCTTTGACCAAGATAGGTGCGGGGCCCGAACGTGGTTCTTCTGTGCATACAAGACTGGCCTGATGAGAATTTATCCAGAGCATACGTATGCTCGGCAACTGGTCTTGCAAATACTCCTATGGCAATTTTCACAACGGCAAAACTTTTTCTATACTAAATACTCGATGGGGCTCTGTACTAATACTCCCTTCTGTTTACCTAATTGTAGATGAGTTATTGTTCTCCGTTGGTAAACATTCGTAGCCAAATTGGTTAACATAGTGGTGTTCTTCTACGATTTGTAAGCTCCTACCCTGTATTCCCAAGAAATGCCAAATGCGAGGACCTTATTTAACCCCGTAAACTAATCTTCTACTCTCTTCTTAGTCCAACCAAAATCGCTGTATTTAATCCTGAATACTGCGCTTACTTTCTTAAAGGTGTGTCTGTGGAGCAATATCAACAATTTAAATAATTAACCGACTTATTCATAGTTCATGGTAAAGATATCACGGAGGTTGCAAAAGTACCTTCCCAGTTTACAATGTAGGTTAGTGTCATAGTCTGTTGCTTGTTCGCGTGGCAGTAGTAGAGCGTCCAAGCGGAAACTTCTCTGTGTACTTGATATCCAACAGTCACACGGCCATTCCGCCTATGAAATCCTAAAAAGAATAAACGTTTAGCCCAGCTGATTTTTATAATGGCACATTAAAAGCAGAGAAAGACTTAATCGAAAGGACGAAAAAGCATGTTAGGAGTCTCATTTAGTTTAATATTACGGTGGGGAAAATAGGCAGCGTGGCCAAACGGTGACACGTGGACATTTGAAAGGGCTAGCAGATAATTCCTTGGTTATTTCAAATGTTTTTGTGCTTTTCGACAGAAAAAACCCATGGCAAGTCTCGTTCGTGAGTAAAAATTAAAAAATACTTTACTCTTCTATTAAACAAAATCAAAAAGCGAGGGATAAATACAATCTCCTTTGAAATCAGAGTAATTGTCACTTTTGGTGAACCCTGTATTTGAGAAAACAAAAACATTCACAGAAGAATCACTTACCGCACTTGCCATCGTTCGTCGATGTGGAGGGTCGTAGTCCCGAACAAAGCCTTCTTCCGTTAGTATAGCAGCTAATCTTAAAATAGAAATAATGGTTGATATGATAATTTCGAATTTTTAAAATATAAGCCACGGAGTATAGTGCTCTAGACGTGCAATTTTAAGGTCAGACCCTAAATTTTAATGAAAATTGAGCCGAAGTCAATAAATTAATTGAGCGTTTGAGTTAGCGGTTAGAGGCCAGGATAAGGGGTTAGGGGTCAGGTATTGGTGTTAGGGGGTTAAGGGTTGGGGCTAGGGCTTTAAATTAGGGGTTAGGCTGTGGCTTGTGTACCGCAGGTATGGCTACGGAATACGATCCGACCGTCAAACATAGCACTGATTTGGATCTGTTAAATCATTCACATACGCACTATATCAGAGGTCGTTAAGTCGTGTCTTACATCTTTTAAATCCCCTTCATCGCCATTAAAGGTCCAGAACAACTGGACGGTTTCGCTGTCTGGGCAGACATCCAACTTGGTACCCTCTTCAACATAGAAGCCAGCTGGAAATAAAAACAACATTCAAGGATTAAGGACAACTGTGTTTTATCAGCACTAGTAAACATCTGACGGTCAACACGAGGGAAGCGACGTCGTCAAGGTGCGCAATAAGTTAACCTACGGATGCTTCCATCTTCTGCCTTGTGAACCGTAATTGGATATTCGTCCCTTAGCATAACGTAGGAAATCTTTTTGGCGTCAGGAAACGTCAGGCGCGTTGCATCCAAACCGTTGCCTTAAGCAAGAAAGACAGAAAAAATCTCAAAAAAGTCAGTTTGTTACTGCTAGAATATTTTTTGGCTTAAAGTGTTAATACTAAAACTCCACATCTGTCGCCACGGGCTAGTCAAGATTCTCAAATGGGCAAAGCTTTTTTATTACAATTAACTTTTGTGATAACAGTTTGAAAATATTGAAACCGAATAAGTGGTTTAATATGTTGAATGCGGCTATACGAAGTTAAGCCAAACACGTTGAAATTACAAGAGTTTCATACGTGTAATGTAAGGGCACCGAAAGTAGCCTTCCTTGTACGAGCACCAGCCCCTTGTCCAAATGTATGTCCAGAAGGTTTCATTTCCGACATACCCTCTCTTTAAAAACAAAATATGGACAACTCCAAGTTAACTGCCGACGAAATGGTTAACAGAGCTAGTTGTTACTCGGATACAAAACGTAAAATGTGTTCCGAATTACAAACGTACCCAATAACTGTCCACTATTGGGACGTCAAGAGTGATGTTGCCAGTCGCGGTCTTTGGTATTAGCCGTTGGCTCCAGGTGCAGACACCCTTTCCGCAACTGAAAAGCAGTGTCAACGTTATTACACATATGGCATTCTTTACTTTTAATCTCATTTAAGATATCAGCGACAGAACATATTTGCAGGTTCCGACTAGCATGCACGTGGATTGTAGTAAAAATAATTTGCCTGTGATAAGTAACATACAGTACAACTTAGTCGCTTGACCAGGGCATCATTTTATGGATTCAGGACAGTTTTGTTTTAACATCCTGTTCCTGTATACCGGTTTCTTTTCAATAATCCTGTTTCCCCTTGGCATGCCAGCCAAAATATTTGGGAAGTCCAGCCATAATGCCCTCAGAAACAAGAGAACGCGATAATAGCAGAGAGAGATTTTTGGAAATTAAATGATGTCATTTGAAAATGGCGATAAGTTACCAGCATAAGTTATTGTGTGCAGAAATAAAGGAAAACAAATCTCCTGCTTATCCCAGTCTAGGCAAACGCATTCGTGGTAAGACACCTACTACACACATGTTTACTGCACTTAGCAGTTTGATGGGTTTAATTTTACCCTCAGTTCTTTTTCAAAAATCAACTTGAACGCAGGTTCAGACTTCATTTCTCACAGCGGTATGGGAACAAAAGTAAGGGGGTTAAATTAGCTCGACGTCGATCGTTGCTCCGATCCGTAAACTCAGCATGTACAAGCTTAGTAGATTATTTCATGTAAATGTTCTATGCCGTCTATGCTACTTCACAAATGCGGAGTTCCAATGCAGGTCGAAAATACCTCTTTACGTTCTGCGTTAATGATGGGTCAGAAAAAACTATCCGCGAGTGACCATATTTAGCGTGACATTAGTTTTGATATTTAGTTCAACATTACGTACTTTTGCTTTAGTTATCAGTGCTTCAATTATGATGTTAAGTTTACATTGAAAAACAAATTTGTCTTCATGTCACAAGTTGTGTTCACGAAATTAGCACCAGAAATGTCTCAATGTTGTATACAAGTGTTTAAGAATACTTGAACATATCCACTTAGTGAAACTTATATACACATATTGACGAAGAAACCAAATCGCTCAGGGTGTACCCAAAATTATACGGTCATGGTACTGTTTAAGCTGTCGAAAATGTCCTTAGAACAAAACAAATGCATCATGTAGCTCTGCGTCCTTCTCTAATCGAATAAACTTTTTGTGTGACTCAACCGTCAGGGTCTTTAGCCCCCATATATATATATATATATATATATATATATTGATGTGGTTATCAGGTAGAAAGAGCCTGTTGGCATTCTACCGTCCTATTAAGGTAAAGCGCGGGGTAGCTAACAGACGATGGATGGTAATTTATGAATAAAATGCAAAGTGGGATAGATGCGACTTTTAGTAAATTCCTTTCTTTTTCTCTGCAGCGTTTCCTAATTCGCCGTTGAACGACACCAAGATAGTTAACATAGAAATGATATAGTAACTGCTGTTTAAATTATAGGGCTTATACAACTTTTACTAACTCTAAACCATCCAAGTACATACATGTTTTCATAAATGAGATTTTTTTAAATAAAAAACGGAATGCAACTCCGGTGATCATTTAAAATTATCAGCAAATTCTTGAGGACATTGCTAGTGGATGATTTTGGTCATTTAATTATTAAAAGGACAGGAATTCGGAACGTACCCCACATGGAGAATAGACAAAAGCAGGGCCAAACTGCAAAGACAGAACGTTTTCTGCATTTTCTTTAGTCTAAAGTTAATTTACAAAAGTTCTTGGATTTATATTTTAAGGCTGGATATCTCTGTCGCACAAAAATCCTTCTCATTGGTCTATCAATATCTAATTGAGGCCAAAAGGTTGTTTTTGAATACAGGACTGCGTGTGTTTACCCTAGTATACTTCGTCAAAGGGTGGAATATAACGGTGATATCTGACTGCCTGAATACGGTGTCAGACGGAAAAAAACATCACGTGCTCCTCTACGGTCTGAATACATGAGTTGAGCCCACGCAATGCTCACCAATGCCCTGAAGACGCACCAAATTTGAGGGCTCATCTGCATTCACTGTGTATTGCTCAACGATTCACGCCGCAGATGAGCACACTGTTCTCTATGAGCATGAATGCCGAGGAGGCGGTTAAGCCTTGATAACCTGAACTCCACTTTATCAAAATTTTCAACTTCGGATTTTTAATCTTCTAATATACGAATCTTGTGTTAGTCAAAGTATGAACTTGGAGTAGCTACTTCCACAAAGACGCTCCCAAATTCGATCAGAGAGCTGACACGATTATGTCGGCCAACATCCTGCGGAACAAACGTTTAATATTTGTTTTCTGCCAACGGGAGTCAGCAGCATGAAAGTCTTGAGTGATTCACCATATCTAGAACATATAAACTAGACAACAGCCTGGACATGTGGTGAGCCGATATTTCGCCTATGCACTGCGCAGCTTCGAGGGGTGCGGCTTATCACTTGGTATCCCAACGTTCCCCACGGTCGAGTCGGGGTTTCAGTTTCCCCTGAATGTAATCCTCCCAACAGCCTAAGTAGGCGCGATCTGCAATAGCTGTGTAGTTAAACCAAAGATTCGAGTGGAAAATATTGCTTCCTCGCAAATGCGTAATCCTTCTGTACAGTAGACATACAAATTACTTTTCGTTTTGTTAATCATGTCTTTCGCAAGTCGGCAGTGTTTTCCAATATAAGCACTAGTCCAGGCTCTTGCAGGGTCAGAGTATGCTGGTTTCTTGAAATTGCTAATTAACGATGATCCTGAAATGACTCCAATCAGTTTTGGCTTTGTCCACTAAGATTAGGCATCAAGCAACCAGTCGCGTTAAGGAACTTACTCATACCTTGGGGTTTTTACTCGAACCCCGCTAGAAGCCGCACAGCGGGCGTAAGGTGGGCCGAATAACATCATCGGAAAACTCTAGGGAAGCTGTAATTGCCCTTTCTGACTTGTCAGCCGTCATCAGCCGGCCACTCACAACGCTGACCTTTGTATCCCCGAGACTCGACTCACGACCAATGGCCTAGCCTTTGAACCCCTGGCTCGTTATCTTGTCGGTTGCCGTCGAGTGTATACAAGGGTAGGAGGGAGGTCACCGATAGCGCTACGCCTGAGCTCCGTCACAGCGACACGTAATATTGGCATAAAAACATCCCAGAGCTCGAACATCAGGGATGCATCCCTCAGGGTCTGACGCGGCTGACCAATGACTTCTAAAAGGCCAGGAAGGGCCATTCGAGTCTATCTTGTCCTTGTCAGTGATGTTGTTCTGGTAACTCTAGCAATACGTACAGTCAGATTTTAGGAGGAGAAGTCAAGGAGGCCCTCTCAAAAATATGTAAAACTACATCTGCAATACAATAGCATGTGCAAACTCAATTTTCTTTTCCAAGAGAACTCCGTGGAACAGACTGCTGAGCTAGTCATTTTACGTTACTGCACTACGGGGAACAAGGGAAAAAATATGCTGGTCATGATCAGTCCGTCGTCCGGTTTACGTAACTAAGACTTTCGTCGACGACGACGACGACGACGACGACGACTTCATGAGTCTGATTGCATGATGCATTCACGATATGCATTATGCTGCTTTCAAAAGTCCCTGTAGCGACAATAAAATAACAACGTTTTTGACCAACTTAGACGCCTACATAGAGTGCATGTTGCGTTTTCAGGCTTCTGTTGTTTTTGAACTCTGATGCAATCTACCAACGCCACTTACGGCGCGGAAGCTGCGTCAGACCTAACATAAGCTACACTTTCTTAGCGGGCACCGCAAGGATCTGGTGAGCAGGCTTCATTGACGTCATCTAGACCTTTCCTAAAAATGCACAAAGTTAGAGCATTGTGTGAGACAAGTAGGATACTTCCAATCCAAATTGCTTTTCCTTCAGAAGTCAGTTTGTTTATTCTGTAACAAGGAAACCGGCTTAAAACCTAGAGAGCTGAAATAGCACTCGATGCCTCACGCCAATGGTGCCCATGTGCATTTGCATTCCTCTGCTTATTTTTGTTGCAAGAATCCCGATCTTTCCTTTATGGGTCTTTGGTAAATTTCAACAGCGATGTAGACTATAAAAATGTCAAGACATTGAGGCATAGTTTTACAACTTTGAGTTTATTAATGAATAATGCAGAAAGACAAAGTAGGTCAATGTCACGCGCCTACACTATGTGAGTTAACTCACGAAATGTTCACCAAAAGTCCGAAATGAGGTTTCGTTTCAAAAGGATTAATTAGGTAGGGTTGTGAAACTAGTAGGCCTGCCACATAATTCTATGAGGATCCAAGTCCCTCAGATGCCGGCTTTCGAATGAACTTCCTTTTGGCTACATGCAAAAAATTACTCTATGTAAGAAAGGACTACTTATGTAGCATGGATATTTCTCATTGATTTTCGATTTTCTTGAAAATCCAATTATATTTCATGGAAAATATGCATAAAAAATATTCATTTATAGTCGACGGAGGGACGTAATTCGGTTTTTAAAAAGTATCTAATTGTGGGACTTTTAAATACTGTGAAATGGCCGTTAATAAATCATCATGTCTCTCCACTTACCTATAGTTCGAAGCCAACGATCCGCGGGCGGCGGGGTGATTGTCAAGAGGAGTGTCCACCGAGTTTGACAGAATTCTCAAATTCTATAAATAAACGTTACTGAAATATAAGCAGTCCTACAATAACCGAAGGGCATTTTTAAACTCAAACTTCAAGACTACATCGGTCGGATTACATTAAGGTGCGTTACAATAATTTAACTAGCAGAGCATTGCACTATTCAACCACTCAGTCAGAGAAGAAATTTCGTTTGTCTAGTCTGGCCGCATTCTCAAAAATTTCAAGTGGACGACCCGGCAATGTCGGTATAGTTGATAACTCGAAAAAGTCTCCAGACACAATACAGCAATCTCTACTGCGCATGATTGGGAATGTTCGGTTCAGGTCACATCACAGTTGCATGCAACTCAAAATGATCTTATCTCATATGGGTACTGAGCTTTCTCCAGTCACAATATCGATTGCAGCTTTCGAATTATTTCGAGGATCCAGGGTTTCCATGCTTGGATGGCGAACTCCAGTTGTGGCCGCACAGACTTTCTGAAGACGTTAGTGATGCATTCTTCATTGATGAAGCCAGACGTTTGCCTGAAAACGCAAAGGACCGGCATCGCGAACTTGGCTACCTTTGGACAGTGCAGCGATGGAATCAATTGCAGTCGTGAACATAGCACTCAAGTCCTTTTGGGCGTCCACTTCCTGCAATGGTACTCCATTCAGGCGGTAAATCATGCGATTGAGGGTTTTGATTCTATCGACTCGCAGAATTCCGCGAGTACACAGCAGAAGAAACTATTTAAACGGTTTTTTTTTCTCATGGTAATAGACTGGATTCTATAAAAATTGGATTGTAGAATGCATCATTGCCTTGGAGCCTCCTCTTCACAGACACCGATACACTAGTAGTAGGACCAGAAATACCCTTCTGCAAATGCCTTCTTTCTGCAAGAATCGCTGCTTTGTCCACACAGACTAAAGCATCATAACCTGTCTCCAACTGTCCGTTGACACTTCGAACAGTAAATACAACAGGCGGAGTCGATATCTCTCTTTTAAATCTCCTTGTTGCTCTGCTTAAAGTCACATGGATTTTAATTTATTCTACCAGAATTGGGCGGTGACGTCCACCGGATTGTCCACTCTATTATTATTTTAGCAATCCCTATTTAAGTAGTTAAAACCTAAACTTTTTCCGCGGAAAAACAACATTTCCGGTTGAAATTCCTCTTTACACAACTTTAAAAAGCTAGAGGGGTTGTGAAATGACACCGATAACGGCCTACCACACCGCGGGCTCGAAGTACCGATGGACGGTACACTAGCCGAGGGCATAGGCCACTCAACCACATAATCCTGACAGTAGTCAAATGCAAAAACTCTTATGGATTGCATAGGCGAGCCACTTTCCAGTGGATGCCGGCTGTTAGTCATTAAGGTCGACCATCTTGAGGAAGAGATCGAAAAGATGAAAACTCTGTTACCGCGTAGTTTGGGCACAGTTAATGATAAAAGTGTACTTGCTGGTCTACTGATTAATGGCAAAACTAATTGACCTCAAAAAGAACTTCAGAAACGCCTTTTATGACTGATACGGCAAAGCCAAAAACAAACAGTGAAAAGGAAGAGCGAAAGCGGCCGGCGAGGAAAGCAGATACATCCACGAAAAGTCTCATTCTAAGGCAAACAAGGCAAAAGCAAATGGCGGCCGCTTCCAAATGATATTTCCACGACACCAGAACCAGAGACCTCGACAAACACCCAGTCCATAACAGTTAATACTTAGAGTACATAAATCCACAACAGAGCAGTTTTAAGTTGAGTAAACTCCTAACGAGCGATGGCATGGAGTCAATCATCGAAGTTACAAACCACTCTTCGCAAACTTCTGTAACAGCAGCTTTTTCCAAACCTGTATGCACAGCCAACGTGCATGCCGCGTGCGCCAAAAAAACTGAAAACTTCGGCTTTTTCTTCCACTCTCGCCTTTGCCCCGCGACGAAGACGGTTATCCCATCACCGACACAGAAACATGATGTCGGATGTCGTTTCAGAACAGTCGGCGGAGTCGTAGTTCCAGTCGCATATCTAGCAGTTGAACATCAGATTCCGGGTCATATAGTGTTGGTCGATACATGGTTAAGATATCGAGCCGTTGGGGA